TATCAACCTGGCCGTTCGACTTATACTTGGTTTTAAAGGTCCATTTGCATCCAAGTATTGTAGTATTGGATGGAGGAGGCGCTAGAGACCAGGAAGCTCTCCAGTGGGGGAATTTATTGGCTTGAAGGTAAGTATTCGGGGTAGTGTCGGGGATTGATAAGGCTAGAAGATCAAAGATTCGTTTAGGACGGTGAATGCTTGTTTTCAGTCTGGTTTGCATTGGATGAATGGATGTATTGGTAGGTGGATGTGGTTGAAGAGGGCGGTAGTGTGGAGTTGTAGAGGCTAAGCTGGTGGGAGTGGGAACCATGGAGGAGGAGCTAGGTGTTTGAGCTGGAAGATTTGTTGATCTGATGGGTGTGGGAGAGGTAAGGTCAGGCGTATTAGTTATGGGAGTCGTGGAGGAGAGTGTGGAGGTTGGTAGAAGTAGATAAGGTGAGGTGAAAGCGTTGTGTGAGAGGAGAGGTTGATGAGATGCATGTTGATTTTGGAAGGGAAAGACATGTTCATGAAAGAGTACATGGTGTGAAATGTGAATTTTGTTTGTGTGGAGATTAAGACAGCGATATCCTTTATAGGAGGTGGAGTAGCCAAGGAATAGACATTCTTGAGACTGAGGATGTAGTTTGGAAGGGGTTGTCGGTTGTAACCAAGGGAAGCATAAGCAAACAAAGGTCTTGAGGTGCGAATATGTTGGGGATTGGTTATATAACAGTTGATAAGGTATATGATTGTGAATGCTTTTTTAAGGCAGTCGGTTGATGAGGTAGTTGGATGTGAGGATGGCCTCGGTCCAAAGATAATGAGGTAAGTTGGCTTGATGAAGAAGAGCTCTTATGATTTCAAGGAGGTGGCAATGTTTGCGCTCGGCCGTACCATTTTGTTCTGAGGTGTGAGGACAACTCAGTTGGTGTGTAATGCCTTGACTGGTAAGGTAATCATGAAAGATATTGCTAGTTAATTACCCTCCGCCATCTGAGCGAAGTGTTTGTATTTTAGAATTGAATGTGTTAAGAATTAGATTATGAAATTGTTTGAATTTAGAGAATGTTTCCGCTTTGGTGTGCATTAAGTAAAGCCATGTGAATCTAGTATTATCAGCAATAAAAATAACATAGTACCTAAAGCCATTAGTAGAAGAGACAGGGGCGGGGTGCCAAACGTCAGAATGTATTAGCATAAAAGGGTTGGGTACACGATTTGAGCTGGAATCAAAGGATAACTTGTGGCTTTTAGCCACATTACATGATTTGCATGGGGGGGGGGGGGGGGGGGGGGGGGGGTTTGTTGGGGTGGGGGTGGGGGGAGGGATACATATAGAGGGAATCAGGCCTTGGATAAAAGTTTGTGCATAGTCCTAGCATTTGGATGACCGAGCCTGGCATGCCAATTTGCAGAGGTGGATGTGGTCGAGTGAAGGGCTGTGAGATTGTTGGGTGGCGAGATGACGGAGTAGAGCCCATTCAATGTTCACATATGATGATTCGGTTGTCTAGGAGGGTTTTGATCTTTGCTAAATACTGCATCATCGAGAGGTCCTTCATTTGAATGTGATAGAGCTCATTCTTAAGCTGGATTACCCGAGATCTGTTGTGGGTTGTAGTCGGAGTTCAAGGGTACTTCAAATGTCTCTAGCCGACATGAGGGTGAGTATGTATGGCAAAACTGAGGAGGAAATGGTGGAGAGAATGGCAGATACTAGATTTTGTTCAACTAGGTTCCATAGACGATACTCCATCGGACTGGATTCTGTTATTATCGAGGAGGGTTTGGTGGTGCTGCCTGTTAGATGCCCTTCATACCCATTTGCAGTGAACAGTTAGAAGATCTGGAGCCTCCATATAGGATAGTTTTCACTAGCGAGTTGATTCGGTATGATGAGCTTGAGATCGTCATCAAGAACTTAAGGGAGGAAGGTATGGTGAGCTCCGTCGTGGTTGTGGATGAAGGTAGATCAGGTCAAGAGGCCTGGAGTGACGTCGGTTGAGTGGCTGAAGAAGATTCCTATTCCGCCATTGTAAGAGGAGAAGGTAGTTAATGAAGCTCTGATACCATGAAATCACCTGCAAAAGGTTAGTAGCAGCAAAAGGAAAGAAGAAGAAAGATGGAAGTAGCTGGACTAAGGTATTTCCTCCATATCACTTATGTCCCATTACAGATGATATATATAGTTGATAAAGAGTAAATAGTAGTGGAGCAGAGGTTGATAACGACTTCCAGAAAACAGGGTAGTGGAGAATGTCAATTTTGTTGATGTGGTGGAAACCCATTAATTGTTGTGTGCAGCCGATGCATATTGGATGTCCTGACAAAATGTTGATACTTCACTCACTATCCAACAATGGTAGCAATAACTACTCATACTCATTTTTCTCCTACTTGTGTCACTCAAAAATATTTGAGTAGTTTATTTCCTTAGTTATTAACGCATATTCGACTGTTAAGTTATTGGAGTTGAAAATGTTTCCATCCCTTATACTCACTAATATTATCTCCGAGTCAATATCTATTTAAATTGATTGAAAAGGCCCATTATGAATGTGAAAAATAATGTTATTCTAAAATGATTAAGTACACTTCTCCTTTAGTTCTACAAATTTTAGAGGAATAAGTCCTCCAAAATTTGAAAATTCTCACCTAGATATATGTAAGGGGACTATTGATACCATGAGCACCTTGATGTTTTCAAATAAGTTATAATGTCTTGATTTACTGCCTTTGGTTTAATGAAATATAGAGTATTCATGACAACTTTCAAATGTCAAAACACGAGAAATTTTTTATTTTTTATTTTTGGCTTCCACTTGACAAATTATTCTCATTTGACACAATTCAAACTCTCTTTTGTATCCACTTTCAAGTAAAAATAGACATGAATCTACTAAGGTTACACTTCTCTCTTAAACAAAGCATCTCATTAAATTATTGACATTAATATGTCAATAGATAAATTTTCTCTAATCTTAAGATTTTAAGAGGGTCCATTTATGTTGGTTTTTACGAAAAATCTTCAAGAGTAAATGATTATGATGTTACATAAAGTAGTAAAATACATCAATATCAAGAAGATTGCATCTAGCTCTAACCATTCAAATTAAAGTCTTATAACTTCTTTTATGAGGAGAAATATCATTTGATTTCTCATCACAAACAATTAGAAAAACATTAGGGCCGAATCAATTTCTCCATTAGAGGATCTCCATTCAAGAGAAATAGTTACAATGGCCACTCTTCTTTTTTTCTAATCAAGCTTAACTTTTATTTGGTTTACTTGCTCATATGAACCACAATGTTTAATATTGATAACCCAAAATATATTTTTACAATGAGAAATTTATGAGTGATTGATGATATATATCTTCAAATATTTAAAATTTTTTACTTGGTCTATTATTAAGCAAGCACAGAGTCAAATACTATTATAAAATAATATTTTTCCTCTAGATAATATAAGACATTAATACAACATAATATATGTGAATTATGAAAATGAGCTTCTTTGATGGAAGTGGAGCCTTAAGATGTCTGAGTTATCATTAGGTAATGATGGGCATCGAAGCAATGGTGTGAATTTAGCTTATGATGGCCATGTACGTAGGCCAACAGATGGGTCAAAAATAGTAATCAGGTGCTGATTGCTAGAGTTATAAAATTCTTCAAGTCTATGAATTCTTTCCACTAAAATCCTCTCTAGCTTCTCCTCCTAAATGTGCAAAATCAAGGGCAATATATATATGATATTTTAGAATATCTTGAGCATTTCTCTAAAAAATCAAAACAATTTAGCAAACAATTAGAGTTGATTCCTCTTAATCATTTGATATTTTTCAGACATATTAGAACTTTAATATTCTTAGAATTAAATGATCTTAAGCTTCTCATATTCATATCATATAGATGCTTATTTTGATTACAAGCATTTGAAAAGTAGAAATTGTTTGGTAATTCAAGTGGTCCTATGACATCTAATTATACTTTTGAGTGTTAGATTTATGTCCATTTACACTCGTATCAACTCATTTTTAATATTATTGAGTTCATCTTATCAAGCTGCTCCCTTCAATTATAAGTTTTTTGAAAATAAAATTCAAATGATCTTAAAGTAATTTTAGAAGTTTCTAAGTCAACTAATTGAGTGCTTTGAAATCTAAAGTTCAAGTGCAAAATCATGCCAAAATAGATATATGAAATGTTGACATAAGTTGCCCACTCTACTTAAACATCCAAATGAATAAGCCAAAAAACATGGAGAACTATTCATGGTATTTCTTCATAACATTGTTCTTTTTGTTTTTTTTTTTCCAAGAAGTGATCATTGCACTATAATCTATTATAAATTATAATGTTAATATGTTCAAGCACGAGCTAGTGGCCAATAGTGAAGGTTCAACACCATTTGGCCACACTTCTATTTACTATTCTAATACTTAGTCGAAAATCTATAATGGGGGCTCTGGAGTGACATATTTATACCAACTCAATTTATTAACAAGCCTATGGGAAAAAATATTAAAATTTTAATGAATAATATGATAAAGAGTGACATATTTATCCCTTTTAAATGGGAACGACAATAATTTTGAATGTATTTTTTTATAAATTTTATTAAAATGTCAACTTATGATATATGATTACACTAAAAAAAATAGTATTTTGAGAAAATAATTTAATAACTAGTATTATCTTGTGCCTCCTTCAAAAGTTTTTTTTTGGCTCTTCAAATTCTACTATTATCTTAATATTGATACTTGGGAATCAGATAAAAGCAGCTCATTTTCAATTTATTTCTATATCATTGCATAATATTATGTAAATAATAAAATAATAAAACATCATATTATATAAATAATTAAATTTAAGTATTAAATAATTAAATTTATAATTATAATTAGTAATTACAATTTATATAAATTTCTCAAAATTATAATTAATATATTAGGTGTTTTGTTAATTATAATATAGAAAATTTATAGTTAGTTATCTTATATATGCCCATTTCTCTATCCCGCTCAATGACTAAACAACGGCCAAACGGGTAGGGTTTCTCATTGCTCCCTCCTAAACCCTACCGCCATCCCTTATCTCCCATGATTTTCAGACAAATCACCAGCAAAAAATACTTTTTCTCAGTCCGCTTCTTCTCTTCCATCCTTAAAGACCGTTACGGTTTCGTTGCTTCTTCTATCCCCATCCCGCAGAGCTGCAGCCCTAACTCCTCTGAAGTTAATGGGAACCAGAAGAGAAAGAAGAATAAGGAGCCCTACCGCCCGCCCTCGTCACTCGACATGACTGGAAAGAAGATCATACACTCCAACCTGCCGTTCGACTTTCGATTCAGCTATACGGAGAGTAACCCAAACGTTAAGCCCATCGGGTTGCGGGAGCCCAAGTATTCGCCTTTTGGGCCTGGACGGGTTGATCGTGCTTGGACGGGCGTCTGCGCTCCGGCGGTTGATCCCGTACTGAAATCGGTGGAAGGGGATGTCTCCAACGACGCGGAGAAGAAGTTGGAGGAGTGGCGGAGGAGGAGGAAGATGATTATCGGAGAGATTCTTACTCCAGCAGAGAGGGCATTTCTTATAGAGAAGTGCCAGAAGAACCGGACTAAGCGGCAAGTTAATCTGGGTAACCTTTTTTATTGTTGGGGGAATATATATAATGTTGATGAATTGAGGGCTGTTGGAATGAGTTTGGTTTGATGTTTTATTCTGTGACCAAAAGGAAATGGAAGTTGGATTATTTCAAGTGTTTTTGCTTTGAGTTTGCCTTGAATTTCTTGAGCTCAATGTTTCATTATAATTATAGTACATGTGAAATTTCTGAAGCATTCATTGCATAGAACTTCAATAATCTTATCTTCCACTGGAGCTACTTTGGCCGAACAATGTTTTGGTGGTTAATGTGTAATAACGTGCACAGCAATTTATAAGTATTGCACAAAAAAAGAGTAATTTGTAACCAGTTTTTCTTCTTTTTTGGGGTTTATTGTTGTTGTGGATCATAGATGAGAAAGTTGATCTCTTTTTATCAAGCTACTCTTGAGGTACTTTTAGTTTTAGCGACTCTTTGGATGTTTGTTCTCTTGTCCGCATACTTTTACTGCCTAAGGGCTTCTTCTGAATGTTGTTCCTTTCTGTGGGCTTAATTTTGATAGGAAATGGTTTAATGATCTGTTTTCGAGAAAAACTACTTTGCGCCCGCTTCCTAGGTGTATGCTATTGTTTGTTTCTTTGTTTTTTTTTCTTTTTTCCTTATTTTTTTTCCTGGTTCAGTTGATTGGATAGTATAAACTAGCTGCTTTTTTGAAGAGGTTGCATGTCATGCGAGACATGCCAGGGTAAAATGCTTAAAAAAATGTTAGTTTTTGGCCTTGGTTAATATGATAAAAATTTGCAATGCAGATCATCTAAACTTTCAAAATAATTTATCTCAATTTGGGAATGATTTTCAATGACAGTAAGAGTTGAGTTGGCCAATTTGTTTTTAATAAATCTGACCAGGTATATATTCCATAGGAAATTCATTATGCTCCAAAAATAATTTGCAGTATCAGATTGTTGTTAACATAATTTATAAGCTTGATGCAAATATAATTAGTAAAATATCCAATTTATTTGTAAAAATTCAATAGCCAATGAATTTGGAGACTTAGACACATATCTGTATGTAAAATTTTCCCATGAAATCTTTAACCGATGCAATGCTTTATTTTGATCTTAAATCGTGCAACTTACTCGTGAGCAGTTTATTGTTAGACCGGTCCATTGGACCGGTCCAGCTGGTCCGATGGGACCGGTTTATGCGAACAGAGATGGACTTCTCCGCCTCATGTATGCACCAAACGCATGCACGACGTGCGTGAGTTGTTTTTGGGAGGATTTTTGAGGGAGTTAGTAGAGAAATTTGAATGTAGAGACTGTTTAGGTATTTTCTTTTGATTTGTATGCATTAAATAGTTTGTTTTCCTAGGGTTAGGGCAACTTGAAGTTGGCTGAAATTTGAGATCTCTTAGATTTAGGTTTTTCTTGGGTTCTAGCGGCGTCTAGAGATTTGGGAGAGATAGATCCTCCTCTCGAATAGAGGATCAATTGTATCTTGGTATTTTTTGTTTCCTTTTATGTTTTATCAAATAATGCAAATTATATACTGTCTTCGTGGTTTTGTGTGGATTTTTGTGTAGAACTCTCGTTGTTTTCCGAAGATTAATATAAAATACTTGAGATCTACAAGTGTTTCCTATCAAATTGGTATCAAAGTTATTTTTGGGACCTTTTGTGGATTGTTTTGGTGAATTTCAACTGCTGTTTTTTGGATTTTGAAGAAGAAAATTGTTATTTTTGAAGGTTGAAGTCCAGATTTTTATTTCTACAAAAATATGGGCATCAATGTCGGCCAAGAAAATGGACGCGTTAGAGGAACATCTCAAAGTGGAGATTGGACAAATGAAATTTGAAATTTCAGATCTCCAAACTCAAGTTTCATATTTAAAAAAAAAAAGTTGTTTTAATCATTCATGATAAATTTGATTCAAAATTTTTCATCCTGAAGGAGATGTTGAAGAAAGTGCTGACAGAGGAGGAGAAGCCAATCAAACTTATGAGGGAAGGCGCTGACATCCATAGAAGTGGGGAAAATCTGAAGCCAATCAGACGAAAGGAAGATCAAGAGGTGGAGTTTTTAGAGGGAACAAAAAAATGCCTCCCCTAGGACCTACTCCTCGAAAGGAGTTTGGTAGAGTGTATGTGGAGAGACGTGAGGGGGTTGGGCATGAATGGAGGGATGTTGAATTTAAAAGAAGAGGGGCTGAATTGGAAAGACGATGACTTGATTATGATCGAAGAGGTGTCGTATTTGAAAGGAGAGGGGTTGAATATGATCGAAGGGTTGCTGAATTTGAAGGGAGGAGGTGGGTTTGCGATGAAAGGTTTGGGTATGAACATATAAAGGATGATTGTGACACTTTGGGGAAGGGGAAATTATGAAGAGAAGATAGGAAGAGAAGAAATTTGACGGTGCAGAAATTGAAGATGGCTATCTTTGAGGGAGATGATGCACATGGGTAGATCTACATGATGGAAAGGTACTTTACTGTCAATAGGTTGACGGAGGAGGAGAAGCTGACGACAACCGTGATGTGCTTGGAAGAAAAAGCTTTAACATGGTACCAATGGAGGGATACGAGGCAACTGATAAGGACCTGGAGGGAATTTAAGAATTGCCTGTTGAAACGTTTCCAAACCAGCAAGGGAGGGAACTTCTATGAGCAGTTCTTCGCTTTGATGTAGAAGGGGACAATGATGGAGTACCGTGAGCAATTTGAGTACCTTGCCAGTCGATTGGATCGGCTTCCAGTGACTGTATGAAGGGACTGAAACGAAAGATCCACGCAGCAGTCAGAGTGATGAGACCTCGGGACTTAGGAGAGTATATGGAGCTAGCTCAGTTGGTGGTGGATCAGAGGCACTTGGAAAAAGGAGCATGAGGTAGTAGTTCAGGAGACTCTTACATGATAACCACCATCTTTGTGGCAAGCAAGGAGCTGACACTAGGAACTCTTATGGAGACTTCGAAAGAGAAGACTGTCAAAGGAAGACCTGGGGACAACTTCAAGAAGCTCACAGCCTCAACACAAGTGTAAGGACCGAACTCTTCAGGTTCTTACCGTTTGTGATGAAGAAGGAATGGAGGAGGGTGTCGTTTTTTCACTTTGCAGACAAGGTGGATCTTTGGGAGGGGAGTATTATTAGACCGATCCAGCCGGTCCGACGGGAATGTCTTACGCGAATAGAGGCGGACTTCTCCGCCTTCTATACGCACTGAACGCACGTACGGCGTGCATGAGCTATTTTTGGAAGGATTTTTTAGGGAGTTAGGAGGGAAATTTGAATGTAGGGGCTGTTTAGTGATTTCCTTTTGATTTGTATGCATTAAATAATTTGTTTTCCTTGGGTTAGGGCGTCTTGAATTTGGCTGAAATTTGAGATCTTTTAGATTTATGTTTTTCTTGGGCTCTAGCGGCATCTAGAGATTTGGGAGAGATAGATCCTCCTAGAGGATCAATTGTATCTTGGTATTTTCCGTTTCCTTTTATCGAATAATACAAATTGTCTAATGTTTTCGTGGTTTCGTGTGTATTCTTGTGGAGAACTCTCGCTGTTTTCCGAAGATTGATAGGAAATTCTTGAGATCTATAAGTGTTTCCTATCATTTATCTCCCATTTGTGGCAGATAAATAATTTGTTCATGTCATTCATGCCGATGGGAATACTTGTGTTAGATAGCCTGTTTCCTCAGAAAACTTTCGTGCTAATTTGTTTATTTGTTTTTCACATTGTTGTCTTTCATTCCATTCGAAATCTGTTAAAATTATCTAATAATTGCGTTGACAGAATAGATATTTTGCATTTGTTTTTATTAATAAAACTCTAGATATTAATGCTTCCTTCATCAATGATCATATCATATCCTTGTTTCATGAAGGGCGATACGATTTATTAAAGGAAAATTAGTTTATAGTTCTGGTGAATGATTTTTATTTTTCATTTCTGTGATGCTTTTTTTTTTGTTAAATAAATCTTTTTGCACTTCTCAAGTATTATCCTATATTTTGTCCTTGTTGACAACAAATGCTGGATGGCATCCAATTCAAACATCATCTCATCACTCTCTAATTGCTCAGACTTCATCACTGGAGCATAATACTAAGTTAAGTGTTGCAGAGATGAGGATGCTCATGTGGATGAGTGGCTTTACCCTTAGAGATAGGATGTGAAATGAGCATATACGTGAAAATGTTGGAGTAGTTCCAGTGGAAGATAAGATTATAGAGAGTCGCCTTAGATGGTTTGGTCACATAAAACGGCGGCCTTCCGATGACCCGGTTAGGAGAGTAGAGATATTATATTTGATTAATGCTAAGAAAGGTAGAGGTATACCTAAAAGACTTGGTTAGAAAATATTAGAAATGATCTTTCTTTATTATATTTAAATGAGAATTTGACTTTTAACAGGACACAATGGAGAAAAAGGATTCATGTAGCCGACCCAATGTAGTGGGACAAAGGCTTGATGTTGTTGTTGTTTCATAAAATCTTGTAGAACACATAAAACATATTTTTTCTTCCATTCATGTGACGGTTAGTCTATTTGCTTAAAATGTCTTACATTAAAAGCTATTTATATAGGAAGGGATGGCCTCACACACAATATGTTGAATGATATTCACAATAACTGGAAGCATTCTGAAGCTGTCAGGATAAAGTGTCTTGGCGTGCCCACTGTTGATATGAAAAATGTCTGTAACCAACTTGAGGTATTTTCTCTTTCCTTTTAGGTGTTAATTTTCTGTTTATTAGCAATATATCACGCAAGCTCCATATGGATCTTTGATTTAGGTGTATTAGCTATTTCCTTATGATGTTTTAAGTGATATTTTCTATTTGTTTTTGATAGAGATGTAGCCTTTTCAAAGAAGTTCAGTCCTAAAACGAGCTAGGAATTAGTGGTTCTATTAATTCCTATCGTAATTGTACATTCTTCTTGCTTCACCTGTGTGCCAATTATTCTGTTCTTTAATGAGAATTAGAATGCACAGCTTTGTAAGATAATATGTTTGCCAAGCAATCAGATTCATCTAAGATGTTCCCCGGAACATGTTGCTAGGAAAAAAAAATTGGCTCAAGATATCTAATCAAATTTTTGATCTCATTCAAAAGTCGGTGAATTTTTTTTGAGATGAGTAAAATGCAAATTTTGATTGATTTTTCAAATATTATATTTATCTCAAAACAATTCTGATGATTTTGAGATCCATATTGACCAAAATTTAATTAGGATAGCTGACCCAAGTTTTTTTTGTTTCATATATGACTCGAATCATCTTTATATTTGATGCTGGCATCCCACATAGTTTCCATATTTCACTTGGTCTGTTTGGTACCGCAATTCCACAATACCGGGCTGCTAACTTAGCGGGTTAGCCAGTGAAGATACCAGAGGATGTTACATACTCATGTGATTTAAACTCAAACGTGGATGAGGATGATAAGTCTGACTTTGAATTTTAGTATTGGAATGTTTCAGTAACGGATTAACATTTATTACATAATACTCTTATATAACAACAACAACAACTTTAAGCTTTTATTTCACTCCTTAGGTCGGCTAAATTAATCTTTTTTCTCTATTGTGTCCAATTAAGAGTCAAATTCTCATTTAAATCTAATAAAAAAGGTCAACTGCTTTCTAACCAAGCCTTTTTTAGGTCTATCTTTACCTTTTTTTAACATTGACTAGATCTAATACATCTACTCTTCTAACCGGGTCATTGGAAAGCTGGCATTTTATGCGACCAAGCCATCAAAGGTGACTTCCTCTAATCTTATCTGCCGTTGAAACTACTCCAACCTTTTCATGTATATTCTCGTTTCGCATTGTCTCTAGGAGTAAAGTCACTCATCCACTTAGGGCATTTTCATCTTATATACTTCATAATATATTCATAAGAGTCCACTTGCCCAATCATAATAGTTAGAATATTCAATCTAGGACTAAAACGGTAGGCATGCGTGTTTCATGCATGAAATATATTAATCTTACATGGATGTTTTATGTCAGTATCATTCAAATTGATATATATTTTGAGGTTATCTTTATGTGAAATCATAATAATTCTAGAAAATAATGCTCTTAAGAGTTTAACTTTATATGAAATACTTTGACATTATTTAGCTTAATTATTACATAATTAAAATGGTTCAATATTTAATTTAAAATTATTTTAATCCACCCTCATTTTTTTGGCCTTGCAGTGCAGAAATATTTAGTAAGTTTATTGCTTAGGAGTGCAGTTGGCAAGCTGGATTATTTTCAGCTTTTTTTGTAAGGATAGAAATATATCCCACTGATTTTGATAATTAAGTTGGGCATAAGGTCAATGATAGACCGAGGAACTACACACAGAGAGCTGTAAAACATGTAATCCTCTATACATGAAGCTTAAAGAGTATGTCGCTTGAGCAAGAGCTCATTCGTGAATTATTGTTAGTCTTGAAAATTGCTTCCTTGCCTTATTAATTTCAGTTTATTGTCCTATATTCTAGAAATTACAATAATTTTGATTTACCCTGAAATTTCTTAGGAATTATTGTTTAATTATTAGAATTGTTGTGCTGGAAACTTTGCACCATTCTCTTGATATATCTCTATATAGCTTTAATTAATATTTTGATATGATTCTTGGTATCTCGATATTGATTCTATCACATTTCCTTACTTGTTTTAGAACTCTACTTCTTCTAAAGTGTAGTATATATTTCTAGCTTTCACTTGTTTGATTTCTGCTCCTTTTTTTTGGTGCAAGAGAACTGTTCGAGGCATTTAATGTATTTATATTTTTAGGAAAAGACAGGTGGCCTTATCATCCACAGACATGGTGGTCAGATCATCTTGTTTCGAGGAAGGCATTATAATCCCAAGAAAAGGCCTGTGATTCCATTAATGCTGTGGAAACCTCATGAACCAGTCTATCCTAGATTGATTAGAACAGTTATAGATGGATTGACAATTGAGGAGACAAAAGAAACGAGGAGGAGAGGCCTTGCTGTTCCTGCCTTAACAAAGCTGGGTAGTACTTATCACGAGAACCATCTTAGAAATTATTCTCTTTATTTAAGCGAAGTAACTTCATTTCTACATTGCAGCCAAGAATGGCTATTATGCTAGTCTAGTACCAATGGTTAGGGATGCTTTTCTGACTGATGAGCTAGTTCGTATAGATTGCAAAGGCCTTCCTACAACTGATTACAAGAAAATTGGAGTCAAACTCCGGGTAAGACAAACTGCTTGTAATTAATTTGTTTCTTTTTCTTTTATTTTTTTATTAGAATTGTATTGAAAAAGCATACAAAATGTTATATACCTGAAATTATTTTTTGTTTGCTGTTCGTATGTGACGCTTTTACATAAAAGCTTTTTAGGGGACTTCATTTTTCTGCTGTTTTGAAATGTTTTTTGATATTTACTTCTCCATTAGAAAACTTCATTCTTTTAACCAACATTTCAAAACTATCTTTTGCAAAAAGTACCGGATAACCAAACGAAACCTAAAAATGCTGAAATAGTTGTCACATTGGTATTCATTTCATTTCATTTCAGACCCCCTTTGTCATGAGGGTAGATACAATTATTTTTAAAATAAATTTCATATGGTGTATGGTTGGCTAGAACCAAGTAAAAATGAAAGAAAGCATCTATGCCAGATATTCTGAGGGAGAAATGACATCTTGTCATCATAATCTTTAGTTGTTAGTATACTTATCTTTCTCTTTGTTTAATGTGAGCTTCAATTTTATTTTGGTTTTGTTACCCAGGAGTTGGTACCTTGCATCCTTGTGACTTTCCAGAAGGAACAAGTTGTAGTATGGAGGGGAAAGGACTATAATAGCAATGCCCACATAAAATCTGAACATAAATCATTCTCCCTCGTATCTAAATCAGATGAAAGCACTGAGAAGACCCTCACCGATATTTCTGCTCCTTACTATAGCTCTTACAGTCATGATCAAAGCTCAGATACTGAAGATTTTGAAATGGATCCCAGAATTGAAGAGCAGGTGAATAGTCCTCAATGCAGTTCAGAAGAGTGTCCTTGATTGCTTCTTTTGAGTTGCTGGCTAGTTTATTCAGGCGCACAAGTTGAGGAAACTATGGAGTACAATAATTTCTACAGTTTCAGGTGTGGTGGCCTACAAAAAATTATCTAAATTAGATGAATGAGCATTGCAAGGAAAAAAAAAAAGTTTAAATGTAAGTGAATCAATTCAAATGATTTTTTGTTTACACATTTACATTTTTTTGTTGTTGCAAAACATATGCTATCATTATTATGAGGCATGTTTTCATTATTATATATATTGTAGCTTTCTATTAATAGAAATTCCTCAAGAGTTTTTAGCAAATAAAAACAATGGCATTAGCCTTTATCAACTGCTCTGAAAGAAGTCTGACTGCTTTGGCTCGACGCCAAAATTAGGGGTGTCAATTTCGGGTCACTGGTCGGGTCCGGGTCGAATCCGGAATTGACCCGGCACTGTTCGAGTCAACCCGAACCCGACCTGTTTTTGCAAATGGGTCGATTTTTCGAACTCGAACCCGACCCACTTCGGGTTCGGGTCAACCCAAACCCGACCCGCTGACACGAAAACGCGGGTCTTCCACGCGCGTCGACGCGTCAACCGAGCTCCCAGGGCACAGCGTCGTCAACACGGGTCTTCCACGCGCGGCAGGCGGCACTGCGTCGTCCACGCGCGGCAGGCGGCACTGCGTCGTCAACCGAGCTCTGAGCGCACATCGGTGCGGGTCTGGCAGGTCTGCAGCCGCTGCAGCTGCAGCTCGGTCGCAAGTCAGTCCACGCGGGTCTTTTACGAGCGCACCGCAGTCGGCTTGTCACGAGGTAGCGGCATTGCGATTTGCAGGGGACCAAGTTGATGGAAGCGACGCAACAGGGCTGACACAAGCGAATTGACGGACGCGACACGAGGTAAGAGATGGAATTTCGGGTCAAATCGGGTTGATTTCGGGTTTTCGGGTCAACCCGAACCCGACCCGATTTTACAAACGGGTTGAAATCCCGAACCCTAACCCGACTCGATTTGGGTTCGGGTTGACCCGAACCCGAAATTTTCGAGTCGGGTTCGGGTCGGGTTTTCTGATCGTGTCAAATATTGACACCCCTAGCCAAAATACAAGAATTTTCTGATGTTAAACCCTTTGTTTAGGGGCTATATGGCTATTCAAAGAGAAGCATAATACTAAGTGTTACAGAGATAAGGATGCTCAGGTGGATGAATGGCTTTATACTTAGAGATAGAATACAAAATAAACATATATGTGAAAAGGTTGGAGTAGCTCCAGTGGAAGATAATATTAGAGAGAGTTGCTTAGATGATTTGGTCACATAAAACGGCAGCCTTTCGATGATCTGATTAGGAATGTAGGAGGTATTAGATTTGACTTGTGTTAAGAAAGATAGATGTAGATCTAAACAGATTTGGTTATAAAATATTAGAAATGATTTTTTTTTATTAGATTTAAACAAAAATTTGACTTTTAACATGACATAATAAAAGATTCATGTAGCCAACTCTATGTAGTGGGACAAAGGCTTCATGTTGTTGTTATGGTGGGCCTAATTTGGCTATAATTTTTTAGCTGTTTTTGAAAAATTACTGTATATGTAGACTGTAAATGAATTATTATCAATTTTTTCAAAAAAATAAAAATTAATAATATTCAAAACTTAACAAAAAAAACTTTTTTTAGACAGCTGCAGTTAAAGCAGCTACAGCTACTTGTAATAATAATAATAATCTAATACTGTTCTAAGAACAACTTTTTTTATATAAACTATTATCAAAAACTCATTTTTAAAAAAGTGAAAGAACATTACATCATGAACCTTTGAAAAACACTAAGAAAAAAGCAGCTTTTGATGGATCCAACAAACATGCAGAAACAGATTTATAAGCTCGAGATATAATTTATTAGACCAAGAACCACACTTTCTGGTACTAAGGAACAGGAAAATACATTTGGATCACTATAGGTGGTGATGAGAGCCACCATTTAATGAAGAACAAACAAAGGAATCCAAAGAGCGAAGTAAATAAATACTTAGCAAGTCCATCGAGTTGATGAGGAGAGGCAATAACCATTAGCTTTTACTAAAGACAATTGATAGCACCTGTACATGAAACTCTCTCAATGTTCTGCTCTTTAGGAACATAAAAGCACAACACTAAATTGGCGCAAATAATGGAACCAACGAAGCCAGGATTTTGTTTGAAGCTGCCATCAGGTATCATGAGCTGGCCGAGAATTATCTGAAGATGAAAAACGAGCGAGGAGATTTGACTCTTGTCTGCTGAACAAATTGGGGTAGGAGAAATATGGATCATCCTCCATTGAAGTAGATCTCTGAGGTTTATGAACTGAATCATACTCAGGAACCAATCCGGTATAATCTGGTGAGCCAGCTTCCATCTTGGGCAAATCTTGAGCTGGGGAGATTGAATCCCATGATGGAACAGGCTTTAACTCATCAACTGAATTCTGCTGGTTCCACGTTGGATTCTCCCCTTCATTCTCAAAATCATGAGAGGATTGGCTCTTTTTCTTTATCGAAAGTTCAGCAATTCTTACCTGGGCAAGGCTTGCGGCAGCACGAGCTGCTGCAGCAGCTCGTTCGGCTGAATCTGCAGCTGTCTGAGCAGCAGCCAGGACATCCTGCAGGTCTTCTTTAAGCTCAGGCTTGATTTGAGAGGGGGGAGGAGATGCCTCTGTTTGCATTGCATGTAATGAAGATGAAGATGGGGGAGATGGGGGAGATGGGGGAGAAGGTGGAGACACAAAAGGGATAAACTGTTTGTTTCCACTGGCAGTAACAGAGTGGCTAAGACTTTCTGATTTAGGCTCTGCAGTATATGAAGGGAAAGTTTTTGTTTCCTCTTGTTCAATCTCGGAATTGAATGGCGGAGGAGGTGGACGCAAAAGAATGGCCGGTGATTGAGGGGAATCGGAATTAGCTTGAACTGAACCTCTTGGCACTTCTGGGAGATCCCATGAATCATCACCAGAATCTAAATCAGGTTCCTGCATCTCTTCAACAGTGTTCTTAGTTGGGGAAGAAATATGCCTCTCTTTTGGAAGAGGTAATGTAGGACTGCTACTGATATTGTTTGGTCCATTCTGATTGGCACAAAGAGATAAATCACCAATAAACAAAAAAAGAGTGTAATTAAATGCTTATAATGACATCCCTTACCAGCAAATCTTCATGAGGCTTAAGAAACTCCGTTTCTGTGGAAGCTGGATCCCAGTCTACCTCATGCTCTTCAGCAATTTCCTTGAGTAGTTTCAATTTTGTTTCCACAGAAGGAGCATGAACAGACAATAATTGAATAAGCTGTAAACATTGTTAATTAGTTACAAGCTGTAACCAAAACATAACAAAAGTTGGATGCTTAAGAGTCAATTAACCTGGCGATTTACTCCACAATCTGGGATCAGTTCTGTAGCAGCTGCAACAAATTCCTTTCCATACTTGTTTGCAAATAACATCTGCACCTGCAACAGTTCAGGCAAGTCTGAGCACCTAGGTGCTGCAAAGCATATGCTTGAGATTGCTTCTTTGAGGTCTAATGGACATTCCCTAATCAAATTTAAAAGCATGAAAATATTGAGGTTAATCTCCCCAGGTCGAATACAACTATAGAAATAAAATTTATATTATTTTCAGCAATATAGGAATGAAAAGAGATAAAAACCATGAGTCGAGCTCAAGGTCTGCTCGAGCTCGAGATCGATAAGCTCAACTCGTCGAGCCTGTTACCGAGTCGACCTGGAGTCAGCTTGCGAGCCGGCTTGACTCGGTGCACCCCTACCTCTAGCCATGAATCAATGATTCATAGTAGTAATAATAATCAACAAAACTTTTACCAATCTTCTTATCATTAGGCATAAATTAAATGGGTAAAACTACCTTCAACTATCACAATCAATAATGATGTTCATCAATCATGAGACAATGATGATTATCTCATTAGTGTTGCTAACACTCCATAAAAAAGATACAAAATTCAAAAGATGGAGAATTGAAAACAAAATTATGATATATTGACTAATCAATACCATGAATAATGAGAGCGGTGATACAAAAAAACCACTAGACCAAGTTTATAAGACTTTATCCCTTACAACATTGGTGGATTTGTTTCAAAGAAATCGTTTCTATTAACCATTAATCATGGGAGATAACTTAGAAATAATCAAGAGAATCCACCATAAACTAAAAACATATACAAACATTCTAGCAATTCAAAGAGTAGTTGTTATAGCATTTTGTAAATCAACATATTAATAATAAAATAATGAGCTGTAAAAATAGATGGAAGAGGTACATAAAATTAGACATCACCACCTTTGAATCTCAATTATTGGAAGGCGAACAGTAATGAGCTCACAGAATAGCTCAATGATCTCTTGTGCAGCCATCATGTTCTCCTCCCGAATTATGTGTTCCACCTGAAAAGCAAAAGAACTATTTCAGTCACCTATAACTGATCCCCTCCAATCCCACCTTACGGAAATAGAAAAAAATAAAGACGGGGTGCAACAACATGTATCAATTAAATTTAAGTTTATCACAAAATCCAACCCAAACTTGATCACCTCACCAAAATTAAACAAGAGTAGGCAAGCGCTATAAGCTGAAAGTTTACTAAAATGTGCTTAAAATTTTTAAAATTACGAATCCTTCTGTTGACTGACAATAACAGCAAAAGAAATGATGATGCAATGTTTCAGGTGGCTAGCTTTAGGCAAGTTGTAGAGTGATCATGTGCTACCCCTAAAGTAAAAGAAGCTAAACTCTTAATCATTGAAGTGCCTTTTGGTGTAATGGTTGAATTTCAATGAGAAACTCCACAGTTAAGCCTGCCCATCCCGGATCAATTCTGGGATGGATGACCTATTGGAAAGTTATACCAACAGAACAATACTATGATGCTCTTAGGCCAAAACGGATAATATTCCCAGAGTTATGAATTTGGGCTATTACTGACCAAATAATTTTCCGTTGTATATTAGTGTAGGCATATGTACAATGGAGAGCAAAATATACAATGATAAAATGGCTAGACAAAAGCAATGTAAAATTCATGTGAAGGAAATGTGACGGATCAAAGAAAACTTAGAGAATTGTGATAAATATGGAATGAAAAAAAAAAACAAATGTTGCATCGATTGCAGCATCTAAAACTGAAGTTAACACCAAAAGCAACAATTGAGAAATGGAATAGAGAACAAAGATTCATAAAATTAACCACAAATAGTTGGCTTAAGGATGATGATGAAAAATAAACCACGACATGAGCTTCTCATTGTTCTTCCCATGGGTCCTTCAGTTGTAAATACTTACATGATTTCTCACTATATTTGAATTTAAATTATATGGTGATTAACTGGCAATATGATAATATATCATTTTTTACTAAGTGGAATAAATCCAATTTTCCATAACACAGCAAAATGCGATAAATGACCAGCATGTATGTTGTCTAAGAACATAAATTTGATGCAACTTGTAAATAGGTTGTTTACTTCTGCCAAAAACACCAAAACCATTCCAATATTTGTAAATATCATGATCGGAAAAAACTGTCCAATGAGATCTTGATAGAAGTACAACTAAGGCCTCATTTGTTTGTCTGTTTCTACTGGCATCTTCCATTTGCCAACGTTAATTTGCTGTTTGGATGCATAATTTTTATAAAACTGTGTTTTTTCAAATCTCCATTTTCTTATCGGTTTTCAAAGCTTTTTATTTTTGCTTCTGTTAGAAAAAGACAGTTTTTGAATCAACCGTTTCTCACCAAAATTTTACAGGACTTCTCCAACCAAACGAAGCCTAAAACGAGGGATGGATAGACCTCAAAAGCTGTATGCAAGCATATCAGAGCTAGCAGCGCCAGCTTAGGCTGTCAGAGCATGCCTATGAAGACAGGCCGAGCCACACCCTTAATAAGATGAGATAAAATTCCTCAGAACAATATTTTTCTCAAAAAAGATCTTATTTTTGCTGGATAAAATTTCATTTCATTTACTAAGAGCTATTTGGTTGCAAGATATAGCTAGAATTTAGGTTAAATTTTGTCAAACAGTTTTTAAGCCACATAAATTATACTACCTTCTAAAGCCCCCCATTTTCTCCTTTTTAGATCAAATCGTAGATTTATTGAATCCTTGGGGAAAATAGGATTCAAGAGATTTACATCATTTCTCCTTATTGTACCATTTCTTCGCCTACATTGAAACCCTAAAATTTGAAATATCTATCAATCAATTTAACAAGATTTAACATCTATCATGTGAAACAATTTCAATAATAAAAGCCTTCGGGATTTACAAAATTCCACTTGCAGCGAAAAAGCCCTTCAGCTGTTTAGGAAATATTATAGAGTTTTTTTCATAATTGATGAAAAGACCCGTGGAGTTTGCAAAGTCCCTGAGCACAGAGACAAGGACTTGACAGTTTTCAGTTGTGACCTCCCCAAAGATCAAGACATCATCTGCATATAGCAAATGAGTAAGAGAATAATTATCAGTAGAAATACCTTTGAAACCCCTCCCCTCAAGTAGATTGGAGAAAGCATCCATGACCAGACAGAAAAGATAGGGACTGAGAGGACACCCCTGCCTCAACCCAGCAGTAGAGGAGAAGTACCCTTCAAGAGCACCATTAAGAACAATAGAGTAGTTAACATCAGATACACAAGCTTTGATCCAATTCACAAAAATGTTAGGAAATCCTTTTTGCAAGAGCCTAGCCAACAGGAACTGTCTAGAGACACAGTCAAAAGCCTTTTTAATATCTAATTTGGCACAAAAAAGGTTAGCACCTCCTCTTTTCCCCGCATAATAAAGAATATCACTAGCAAGCAATATGTTATCAATAGACACTCTAGATTTCACAAACCCCGCTTGGTTATCCTTTACAATCAAGCACATAACCGGTTTTATTCTAGCAGCCATAACCTTGGTGATAATTTTGTACAGGACATTACACAAAGCTATTGGCCTATAATCAGAGATGCTGGCTGTGTTTTTATGTTTTGGGATGATGGCAATAGCAGTGGATTTGAATCCATTAGGCATATACCCTTTAAGAAAAAAGGAACGGACTGCCCAGCAAACAATGGGCCCAAGGATATGCCACCCCGTTTTGTAAAAGCGGAAGTTGAAGCCATCAGGCCCCGAAAACACCTGAGAAATCATCTTGAAATCTGTCATGAGCTATCTATTCACACCATAGTAGACAAAATCATCTATCTTGGGATACCTCTATCGTTCTACAGGCTAAAAATTTGTGACTACCTCCCACTAATGGATAGCTTAAATAGGAAATTCAATGGCCAATTTACTGTCTTTGCAGGTAGACTACAATACTTGAAAATCACCATACAAAACACTATAGCCTATTGGATACGTGGATCTATTTTACCAAAAACTGTGTATAAGGTTTACAAAAAATTATCCTCAAGATTTCTGTTTTTTGGGGATGTAAACTCTGGTAAGAAGCTTCATATGCTATCCTGGGACAAAATTTGCAAACCAAAATCCAAAGGTGGACTGAGTATTCCTTCTATACATGCCTTTCAGTTTGCTTATCATTGTTCTGTTATATACAGGATGTATAATTGCTCTACTCCTCTTTCATCCTGGCTACTTACCAAATACAGATCTTTGTGGAAGGCGCCTCTGGTATCTGCCTCTAAACTATGGAAATCCATTTACTATCACTGCTTTAAATTTACTATCACTCAAAATTCTCTTGTTTCTCTTAAATGGGATCACTGATGCAATAATTCCACTTTAGGGGATTATATTGGTGATGTTTACCTTGATATTATCCCTAATCTCACGCTTTCTGAGCTCATTTCTGGAAACACTTGGGATCTCTCTGGTAAAATTCATGCGTCCCTGCATCAGGTATTTAATGGTATGCAGATTTCTGATAGCGCTGGTGCTTGCTTGTTATGGAGCAACAGCAATAATGTTAGATTCAAATTTTTTATAGATGAATACTATTCTGATAAATCTGATTGATGTTGGGTTAATATGTTATGGCATAGGGGACATATTCTTAAACACACGGTTTTTGTTTGGCTTGCTTTAGCTGGGGGTTTAAAGACCGCTGATGCTCTCCTTACTAGACAAATTCACGTTCCTCTTTGCTGCAGCTTATGTAATTCTCATGAAGAATCTGTGTCCCATTTGTTTTTGAATGCCCTTTTTCTTTTGAAATTCTTAAGGGTATTATACCTGGGATGGGTATCTTTCTTTTTAGGCCTTCTATTATGCAAGTCTTTGACTGGTTAACTAAAGCTTTTCACGAGAAAACTGAAGCTTTAAAAGCTTTCAAGGTGGCTGTAAGCTATATTATTTACTATATTTGGAGGAAAGGAACAATATAAGATTTGGTGGGAATTATCTATGCAAGACTACTGTTCTGTTAAGTATTAAAAGAAATCTGCATCTGAAATTTCCCAAAAAAAAAAAAAAAAACCCGTCAGCGTCCTCTCTCATGAAATGAACAGATATCAGAATTAAAGGGGGAAAAAAGGTCATACCCTAATACGGGCAGTAGCTTCTTGCCCATTCTGGAGAAGGCTGGCAATATTCTTTCGCATCTGCTTCAACTGGATCTCCCTTCTATTCCGCAGGAGCTTTATCCTAGGAATTGTCAGCTTCAGCAGAGTTTTGCTGATCAAATCAAAAGATAAAATAAATCAAGATGCACAAATGATCAAATCAAAGTACTAAAAAGCCCGTAAGTTAAATAAATCTATTTCAGTAACCCAATACTTCCGTAAACCAGAACATACCCATCAAATTCACCATAGTTCACAACGAAACCCATCATCTCACCAAAAAAATAACAGGAAAAAACCATCTCCCGTTTCCAAAAAAAATAAATAAACATACAAATTCAACGTTCTGCGGGAACGAAAAAGTAATAAAAGATCAAATATTTACCATTTTGCCGCTTTGAAACCCTTATTAAAGAACGAGTCGAGCATGGTGATCGGCGAAGCAGACACCAAAACCAATACAAGATCTTGAATTTTGCACACACAAAAAAAAGGAAAAATCAAACAAATCACTTAGTAAATCTGCCTCAATTCAACACTCGGCCTGCGAAGGCAGAGCATAAATACGAATCAAGTAAAAGGGAGAAAGGAAAGAGCAGAGAACCCCTGCGGCCTGCGCGTACCTGCTACACTCTCTAGAGAAAGACGGTGGCTTTGCCTTCAGCTTGAAGGATCCGATAAGGGGTCCAGTTCTCTTCATGCGAAATACTCTTCGACTGGGCACCGCTACGGACACGACAAAGGACACGCGTTCGACACGAAACATATATCATATGAAAAAAATATTTTATATTATATTTTAAAAAATTCATAATAATTACATAAATTAATTAAAATTACACATCAAAATTTAAATAAAGATGCAAAAAAAAAAAAATTTTAAGGATGTGTGAAATATTATAGTAGATTTCATGGTTGATGTATTATCATAAAATTATCTTGATCAAGCACGAATCTCGAGGCAAAATCTACACAAACTTCAAAAATTAAAATTGAGAGCAGTTGAACTCCGATTTTAGTGATCTTATAGTCAAACTGAGCGTCTCGGAAATACGAACACAACGACACCAAATTCGACCCAATCCGAGCCCAAATGGGTCCGAATCATGGACCCAAAGCGTTGTTGGAAGGTTCAAACCGTAATTTGAGTTACCAAAAGGTCTCCGATTTTAACGAGCTTATACTCGAATCAAACGGCTCAACGAGACGAATCCAACGAACCCAAGATCACAGAATTCCGACATCATTAAGGCTTTCAAATGTCCAACGAACGGTACACGATCGTATGATTCGACATCGACCGTCCATTCAACCACTCCCTATTCACCCCTGATCTCACTCCTATTTACGAGCTATGCCACTCCAGAAAATCTATAAATAGAGCTCTCATTCTTCACAAGAGAGGATCCAAGCAAGAAGAGAAGAAGAGAAGAGAAGGAATAAGCTCCTCCTCGACCACCGCTGGAACATCGCCGGACCACCGCCGGAACATTGCCGGACCACCGCAGGAACCTCGCCGGACCACCGCAGGAACCTCGCCGAACCACCGCTGAAGCCTCGCCGGACCACCGTCGGAGCCTCGCCGGACCACCGCCGGAGCTTTGTTGCACCACCACCTCAAGAACCGACGTTCTGTTAAAGGCCCAACGTTCTACTCAAGGCCCGAAGTTCTGTTCAAGGCCAGACTACCAACTAACACCCGAACTACTAGGGTACTTCCAAGTGACGCCAGGGTACTATCAAGTGACACCAGGTCTAACACCAGACTTCTATCGAGCAATTGCTAATTGTAATCTGATCGCCCTTTGGAGGCAATTCATCCCTTTGTAACCAACTCAAATTATAGTGGAATCATTTTCAACTGGGCTAGGCCCCGTGGTTTTTCCTTTTTTTAAGGGTTTTCCACGTAAAAAGTCTTGTTTTCTCTGTGTGTGTGCTGAATATCCGTGCAAAGCTAAGACGTATAATTAAAACTCTATCGCCGCGTATATTCTAGCCCGCAACAATGGTAAAATAAAAATTAGAAAATAAAGATAATATTGAGAAAAATATAATGACAATCATATTATAACATATATGCATTTTATACTTGTAAGAAATTAAATCATCCCAATGAGAAATTTCAATGTAATTTGAGTAGAAATCGATTATATTTAATGAATCATCACAACCCCTATATATATGACATTGATATTATCATGATAAACTAAGAGTTTAAGATAATTATAATTATAAATCAAAATGATCACAAATGCTAGCCCTCTTATAAATCTTAAGTGACAAGCTATCCAATAGATTTAAAGGTGGCATTATGGTCAGGTGACGAGGAGGCGTTTAGGTGGCAACTGTACCGAGCGACTATGTCTCCAGCTTAGATATCAGGGAGATTCAACATTGAGGTTGCTTACCTTCATGTGGGGGGTGGGTTGCTCAATCCCTAAACCCTAGGTAATGTAACAACAAGATAAAAGACCAATGCTATTAAAAATGCTAGATTAATAAAAAAGTTAAAAGGCCAATGCTAGAGTGAGAAAATGAAGGCTCTACTTCAAGAATAGGATCATTCATTATGCATAACTTTTTATAAAAGCCTATGGAAGACGCGTAGTCTTTTCAAAATCATGGAGAATAATTACAAATCTTAATTTAAGGGTCCCAGGATAGTTACACTATACCAGTAAAAAAAAGCAAAAAATCTCATAAATTGTCTTATTTTAGGGCAACTCTACTTATCTTATTGGCTAATATGAATTTTTACATTTCTTAGAAAGTTTTATTCTTTTATTTTCTTTCTCTTTCGATTAAGACAAGCCATCACTCTATGTAATAGTATTTTATTGGTTCTTAATGCTTTTCAAAGTTATTTAGTGGAAAAATAATGAGCCCTATCTCATTTTCAAGACTATCATTATTTGTAGAAAAATGATACAAGGGCGCTTCACTTTCAATCAATTAGACATACTTTAATACAATATGCCTCATAAAGTAATAATGTAATATGACAAAATGGCAACAGTGTAGTCCTCATGCATCTAAGTTGGAAATGTAATAATAGATGTGATGTGCTCAAAGTGTTGGCAAGGTTTTGAGTATTGCAACATATGACTTGCTACAATACATGCATTATGGGTTATGACTATAATGTTGAGTTGATGATTGCTACATAAATACGTTTTTTTTTATGCAAGTATTTGTCCAATACATATATTGTTATGATATTGGTCATATTATGATGAATACTATGTCATAGGTTTCATAGCATTTTTATGTACTGATATGGCTAAAGCAATGATTGTGTAGAAGTTGCTTTCACGCCATATGAGAATAGTTTTATGTACCAACATAGAATATAAATGTTTCATCTTTTAATTCATCTATAATTATATATATTGCATAAGATTTCCCTCCCCTCTGTATCCACGGCCCTCACCCAAACTACCTAAGTTTGGGA